AATATATGTTGTACCAGACGGGAAACCAGACTAAGGATTCACAGATCCAATTCCTAAGTGAGGGTGCTTGCTTCATCAACCAGGAGAATCGAAACACCCATTCCCCAGTGCATCCCAAGCTGTAGGTACAGCCAACTTGACTGCACAACCCGCACCCGGCACGCCCAAAAGCAGTTCTTCAGGTCCCCTTTCATATTCTCACGTATATTTTCAGAACCCGAATCTCCTGACTCCTCCCCCCGTTTCCCCCAAAATGAGGCGCTTCAATCGAAGCCAGGGGGTTGTTGGGTAGGAGGATCGAATCCTACGCCCGGCAAAAACCAACAAAGCTCCCCCAAGAGCACATGGGAAGATTAGGGCTCGTCCCCTGGTTTTATTGCTAAAAATCAGAGCTCCCGAGGCCAGAGTGATAAGAACACGAAAACTCTAGGGGTTGACTCCCCATTCTTTTCAACCACCGTTCTTTTCAAACACCGGCTGTTTCCCCCGCGTTTTTGCATGGTGTCCTAAAAAGATCCGGATCCATCTCAAAAAGAATGGAAATGGAAGGCGCCCCTGGAAAAAAAACGGCCCAGTTCACCCGGAGAAGCAAAACAAAAAAAACGGCCGCCGCTCGACCGCCGAGATCGACCACCGGAGGTGTCAACATGCCGTGCTGGCCACCAGCACCAGCGCAGGGTACAGCTCGACCTCGGCAGACGCGGTGAGGGTCGACTTCGTGTTTTCCCGAAAGATGGACAAAACAAGACAAAAAAAAAAAAGCCGCGTGTGTCACAATCTCGTGCCGAAAAATCGGAGCAGAAGAACAAAAACCGCCCCGCGTGTGGGCAAATGCTGGGAAAATGCCGGCCCATTTGCTGGACGAAACGCGGCAACATGATCCTACTTGGCCCGGGCCCATGTGTGTCATGATCAAAGCCCGGTATTAAAAAAAAAACGGTCTAGAACCATGTCAAGGATTAAGAAGGCGGATATCCGCAGCTCTAGATGGTTGGGATTGTCCTTTGCTAAGCTTCATCTGCCCGGGTTTTGATTGTGGCTCAACCTCTGATTAATAAACACACACCCCTCCCGCCTCCCCCCAAACACTTGAGGCCCCTCAAATACATGTCTGGGGGGGATCATAGGTTGAGATTAAGGCTATTTTGGCGACTTGAGTTGGCCTGAACCGCAGGGGAGCTCCAAACAATTGCTCAGGTCCAGTTTTATATTTCTTGGCCCACGTTAAATCCTTTGGGATTTGTTGTTCTATTCGGCAACTACGTTGACCCAGACTCAGTCTACCTCAAAGGCTCCAAAGAACCCCATGTTTACACATTCTGGGTTGGATTCAAGGGGTTTGGTCTACAGATTCCTGGAATCCGCAAATATAGGGTACTTTAAGGCACCCTGTGGGCACAACATATAGGTTCATACTTGAGGATTTTGGACCCTTTTGGGTCCCCTAAAATCGGTTTGGAGACCCCTCCAAGCCGAAAACTATCCTTCCGCGCGCCTGCATCTGATGGTCATGGCCCATGCAGATCACCTTCCGAGGCAGGGCCGGGCCACCACCGTACCTCGCACGGAGTTCGCAGCTGAGCAAGATGGTTTCTGTTAGTGAGCCCAGCAAAATGGGGGGTGATGTGTCTGGGTTTCCTTTGAGGGTGATGTCCCTGTTGGTTTCCTTTGGGGCTGGTGTGCTTTTGGTTTCCTTTGGGGGTGGTATGCTTTTGGTTTCCTTTGGGTGTGGTATGCTTTTGGTTTCCCTTGGGTGTGGGGTCCAGTTGGTTTCCTCTTTGGAAGCGACCCACAAATGGGTGTGGTGTCCGGTTGGCTTCCTTTTTGACAAGCGCCCCGAAAACGAACCCTCTGGAGACTCTGCCCTAAGCATCAAGAACGGACCCTCCTCCATTGGAGGGGGCAAAAGATCTCCAATGGAAAGGTGAGGGAACCTCAAAAAGATTCGAACTCTTTTTGAGGTCCCACGATTCTCAGGGTGCTCAACATAAAAATCGGTGCCCTAAAATGGCGGGCATCCATGTATTTCCCGTCTACCGCACCAACATGGGGGTCCACCATGTTGAAGTTCCCTTTGGGCATGGCTCGTCAAAATCTCCGGAGTTGGGCTCCCTCCTTGGCTTCGGTGTCCCCCAAAAGCAAATCAGCACAGGCATGTTTCGGACGCGGCGTAAAAGGGAAAAAACGGAGATTCGTAGGAAGGCTGCCAATTTGAACTTTGTCAAGACCATAGCAAGCATTTGAAAGCGGAGTTTCGGGCCAGGCACTGTAACCTGCCACTGGATTCTAGGTCCACCAACAATTCTGAGAATGTTCCAAGCATAAGTTCATGGCCAATAAGCAAGTAGAAAGATTATGAATGTTGAACAAAGTTGTGGGAATGATGCTGCAAACGGCCACGGCCTACTGAACGGAAGTGGGTAGCGACTCGGTTGCAACAAGCTCACCATCCATACTTCCCCTTCCGTGGCTGAACAAAGCACCATCGCGGGAGGGCTTTCAATGGTAACCTCGCTGCCTTCATGAGTAGGTTTTGCATGATTCACCAGGCTCGCATGAGACCATCCTGGGCAGGCAAGCAAGCCTCGGCAAAAAACACGTGTTACAAGCCAACACTCAAAGGGCGGCTTTGCCCAGCGGGGAAAAACTGCCATTGGTGGTATTTCCCAAACATCAAACATAGAATCGAGCCTGCGAATAGGGAATCCCCAAGACACAATCCTGCACCCGCTCGGATCCGCAAAGCCCATTGATACCCTCCCACCAATTAACATGCAACCTGACGTTCGGGACCCGGTCCCTTAAAAAGGAACATGGTCTTCCCAGGATTCCAAAGGAGCCCCCAAACGCCAGGTTCCCTGCTAACTGGTGGGAGGGTAAACGGGTAAACCATCAATCCCAACTGGTGCGAGAACTTTCTTCCATCCACAGTAGCTCCCCATTGTGCTTCCATCGGCTCGCTCCGGCGCACCACTCCACCAACTGAAGCCACAACTCTTCGGGGATCAGCTCCTTGGATTGAGAGCAAGTACCGGAGAGCCGATTCTTTTTTGCTCGCTTATTGTTCTGTTAAGGGACCCTACAAGTTTGCTGGTTTCCTTTGTTCGATTTGCGTGTTTTGTGGATTTCACATTTTGTTCCCCCTGTTGGTTATTTTCTAGTCAATACAAAGAGTATTCTACAGGGGTGGATCCACAAAAGCCACATCCAAACCGTTTTCAAAATTTGTGATTTTTCCGTTCATCTCAGGAGCTAAAAATATGCGCTTAGCTGGGATGTGTGTTTTCCTCGGTGATCCTTTTGAGGGACCTATAGGGCAGCCTGACTTGGGGTCTCCCAAGACTGGCTGGTTCTCAGATTCCTGGATTGAGCCAGAATAAACTCGAGCTGAACCATCTCACAAGTAACGGGGATGCAAGTACTATGAGGGCCTAAACTGTTAGAATAGTGGGGTTCTGGCATACTTTGAAGCCAAGTGCAAATTTCAATAGCGGACCGTGTGAACATCATTCAGGGGACTAATGTCCAACTCCCAGTCATATTGGATTCACACAAAGAAAGTGGGGACAGCTCTTGCAAGGGCTGGCGGATGCCAGTTGCTCCCAAATCCCTGCCTCCTGCGTCAAGGCTTCGTTGTCCATTTGACAAGTCAGGGACCCTACCAACACCCCAAGGCCTTAGTTGGCGTTCTTGTGCCTTAGGGCCGGTTAAGCCGTACAACTCTTGGATCTTGGCCTTAGTTGGCGTTCTTGTGCCTTAGGGCCGGCTAAGCCGTACAACTCTTGGATCTTGAGAGATCATTGCGGCCTCCGGAAACCTAATCCCATAGCTACATTCTGACATACGACATTGAACAACCAAAAGAAACACAACCCAGGCTTTCCCTTATTAACCAAAAGGCAACCATGGCTGGTTGGCCTCTTGTGGTAGCTGGGATCTTGGGATTGTTGCAACCCCCAATCGGAAACAAAGGTTCAAAGAAACCTGAAAAGGGTCTTGGTGCCGTAACTCGACGTTTTCCTCTTGGCTAAAGGGCTGAAACCCCTTGTTTGGCTTCAAAGGCCAGATGGATTCACTGGGTTTGGTTACACCGTTACACCCAGGAAAATGGGGTTCGGTTGGCCTCAAGAGGTGTCTAAAACCACCCCAAAGTGGAGCAATGTTCAGGGTAGCCCCATTTTCTATGGGAGACTCCAGGTAAATAGACAAAATGGAAGCAATCAAAATCACACACACACACACACACCTATTTTCGGGTTCCACACCTAGGACTAACCCGGACTACACCGCTCCCCCCAATATTGGGTGCGACGGTTCGGCTTGAATCCCAAGCTGCAAAGTCGAGGTGTTCCACCAAGTTCATCTTCAGCTCGCCCTGGACGAACGCATCGTTGTTTGTGTTTGTTTTTTTGCGGGGGGGGGGGGGGGAGGGGAACGACCGGAGCTCGCTTTCTTGGTGCCGTTCTGGGGAAGGAATGGGCCCATGTTTTTTTTTTTGGGGGGGGGGGAACTGTTTGGAGTTGGTTCTTCAACGGAAACCAAAAGGGCTGCTTGAGTTGTTACAAGGCCACTGCCAGATTGCCGCTGCCTCGCATTTTTTTGTTGAGCCCCCGAGGGCGGGGGCTCAACAAATAGAATGGGGTTGCGGGGTAGCTTAAGAAACTAAGCCAGGTTCAGAGGATAATCATTACTACTAACCAAGATTGGAAAATTTGCAACCTCACTGACGATCCTGGTCGAGGAACGCCAAAGGAAAAGGAGCAACCAAGTCTTGGCGCGCAAACAAGGGGGTACGCAGAAAATCTTAGTTCGCGATTCTGTTTCATAGAGTCAACCCGCAAATTGAACATCAGGGCTCCACTTTTTGACTACTTCAGGGTAGACTTAAATCCAGGGGTTGTTCATTGCCCCCAAGGGAGAAACCCCTGGGTTTAAGTCCATCTTGGGGTAGTCAAAAAGTGGAACCCTGTTGAACATAGTATCGGAGACCCCAGATTCAGTAGTGAGAATGGGGTTGTGGGGTTCATAGGAGACTAGTCTGTGTCATAGGTGGCACAATACCCATCTAAACCAGTGGAACCCATGTATGTCTAGCCAAGCTAACCCAAAAGTGACGCCTCTGCTCTGTTTGTGCTTTAACCATTTAGCCCCTTTGCCGCCTTCCCGCTTGAGGCTTAGACTCTGCCTTTATCTGCCTTTATCGCACCTGGAAATCACGAGTGGCATGTGGGGCCTTGCCTATCATAGAGGTAGTTGAGGAAATCAGATTGAAGAACAAAGTAAAGAGGCCTTTTATAAAGAGTCCTATTTAAAGATTTCCTTCACTACCTCTTCATAGTTTTTCAAAAGAGGCCCTTTATAAACCAAAATGTCCCCCAAATCATCTTGGAATGGTGATCTGAGGGAGGGTCCTTGGAAGAGATGCTTCCGGTAAAACGTAGACCAACACAATTTTCTCATGGCGAGCAGCTCCAAAGCCTTCCGTCGGCCGTCCATTTTCGTGGTCCTTTTGGTTTTCCAGTCCACGGCGGTTTTCTGGAATAAACCGAACCCTGAGCCAGTGGAACCCATCTAGTTCGAAACTCACCTAAAAGGACGCCGTTTTGTTTTTCATTTCGACGGTGATGCTGCGTGTAAACCTTGAAGTTGCTCGTTTGCTCGTGGTCTTGTGGTAGGCTAGACAACCAAATCCTGCTCACGTTCGATCCGCCCAACCAAAAAAATAAGCATGGGACAGAAGCTTGCTTGTGACCAATTGAATCGAAGCACGAGGCCACTGACTGTTGGTTCTAGTAGCAGGTTTACAAAGGTCTATAAACATAGGCGTCCCATTTTTTGGATGTGTTCAAAGGGAAACCAAACGCAAAGCGCCTGGGGTCCCAAATTAATTTGATGGCCTTAACAGGAATCGGTTAACTCGTACGTGTCATTTGGACCCCATTGCCCGCCGTAAACGTGCGGCGCGGGCAAACGCGCGAGCGCGCGTTTTTGCAACGCGCCTTGTGCTCGCCCTCCAAGTCGGAGTTGTCGATCTCCGGGGGTCTGGCCGGTAGGCTCTGATAGTTGCCTCAGCACCCGACCCCCTTTTTTCGGGGTCAGAGGGCCGCAAGAAAGGCATCCCAAAATGAAACACTCCAGTGCTCGACCCCCAGAGGGGCCTCAAGAAAGGCATCCAAAATGAAAAGTCCTAGTGCTCGTAGCCTGTGTTTGGGATTGGGGGTTCCAAACAGGGGGGGGTGGGGAAGGGCCTTGACAACTGTATAGGACGTTTTGTTCATCCATGCTTCCCGGATTCCTGTCTGCTCACGCCCAAAGATAAAAATGCGATTACAGCTGCCAAAATCATGGTGCACGAGCCTATGACGACTTTACTTTTACAACCCTCGTGCTCTAGGTGGGAAATTGTGGGAAGGTAGGGTCACGGTCGGTTCACGCGGCCATTCTCGCGTCTGGGTTCAGAGCCATGTAAGGGCTTCCTTTTGATCTTTGTGGGGTAGGGCTGGGCAGGGTGGGTTGGGGTGGCGTGGGGTGGGGCAGGGCAGGGTGGGGTGGGGGTGGGTTGGGGTGGGGCAGCATGCGGTGGGGTTGAGGCCCGTTGACAGGGGCTCTGACCCACTCCCAACGAATCCTGGAAGCTTTGAGACCTCAAACGAGGCCTTGTTGAGGTCCCAAACCTTATGCGCAAACCCGTCCGGGGGCCCTTTCCGATGCTTGGATGCGGATGTTGGTACGTGAAAGGTGGGGGGTGGGGAGGGTTACCCAGAAACTCATCGTCTATGATTATGTTTCCTCACAGTGTATGATTCTGTATTGTGGGTTTGTCTCCAAATAGGGGAACCCTCCCTTTAGTTGCCCTCTCCAACCCAAAGGCCTACCAGAAGACTCAGAGGCCCAGGTTGTAGGTTGGAGTGTAACCCTCATATATCCATATAGCGCCAACGCAGGGTGTATGTCCTCCAAAAAACACCGCTACAGGCTTGCAGGACCCGGTAGTGGTTTAGGGTAATGGAAATTATCCTAGATCAACAAAGATTATAACAAATTACATCATAGCAATGTGTGCAGGGCCGTACTGCAACCCTGAAACAATGAAGTAGAACCCCTTACCCCAAGCATCCTTGCGCCCTCCAAAAATGGAGGTCGCAGCGGAAGCGTGAGGGGACCTCATAAAGACATGCAACCTTTAGGTCACAGCAAGATTCTGAGGGTATTTCCCAGTGCTTCCAGATACCACTATAGTAGGTAACTAGGGATGGCTACCTCTGGGTTTACATCATTGATTTTCCTGGTTACCCACTATAGTGGTAACTGGAAACACTGGGTTTGTTTTTGGAAAAACACAGGTGATCAGAGCTTTGCGCATCGCTGAGACCCCCCGCGGTCGTTGCCCAGCTCAAACAGCGGCAAGGACACCTCGGAACAAAGCGATCGAGGACTGGGGTAGACGCGTAGCCGTGCCAGGTATGACTCAGATGGCAGGTGCATCAAAGGAACCATCAT